TTATTATGATACAAGTTCTACTAATGTCTGTTCACTTGGTAGATTAAGAGGATTTTTAATCACTAGAAAACTAGAGAGAAGAAAACGCTAAGAATTTTTGGCACAGGTTTGACCAACATGCTTGAGACGATGGAGGGATGTAATAGATTTAAGATGCCTGACATCTTTGTTTACGTCTACATGAAAACTTTGTAAATAACGAGCATCTGTTAATGACACCTCTGTGCAAATGACGTTGACGCTGCATATAGCGAGTGAACCTCGAACAGCTATCTCATGTCTGGGACGTACCAACCCATTATTTCATAGAATTAATTGCATGACAGAGCTTTGTTTATATATTTTATTTTCAGTGTGGAGGAATGAGATTTTGTAGAGATATCACTAAGTGGTAAGCACGTTCGACTCTTACGCTTATTGCCTATGATCGCACAGGTCTTTAACGCTTCTGTTCACGGTCGCGACTGTTGCACAACTGCTTGCCTATCCTCTTCAATACTTATGGCTGCTATGAGCTTCTTACTGTTCTATTATGTGCACCCTTTGGCTTAATTCAGTTCACTCGAGTTGCCACTATGTCCAGTTTTTCCTAAACTTTAGAAATGTATTCATGAATATTTCAGCCCAAGTCAAATGTTCTCAGCGGGAGTGGAGCGTTCAAAATGAAGCGGGATTCGATGTAAGCTTAAGTCCTGCACAAAACCAAGTCCGAAAAAGGGTAATCCTGTTCAGATAATGCATTCCTGATGATTCTTGAGTTAATATTTGTACACTCTGTATATCATTTAAAGAAATGTGCATCTCTTATTGAGCGTACAAGAAAATAGGAACACAATTCACTTCGTGTTATTTGTCTTTTGTGATGATGTGCTAAACGAAGAGATCGTGCATCAGTCATCCGTCATAAATATGTTTTATGGTTGACATTCTTCACTGAACTATCAAGGTAGTACAAGAATCTCAACTCCTATACAGTACAAAATGTATTTTTTGTTCTGTCAGCA